CTGGATTATTTCTAAAACTGTGGCAGCAGATAGAATTCCAATGGATCATGGCCCCCATCAACATATAAGACTTATCAAAAAAACACTGAATTTCCTGTCCTTGGTTATCATGATAGAAATAGAAATGCATCCCAGGACTCATCGACTATAATGCTTTAGTAACAAAGGAATAAAAGTATATAGAGATCCACTTCTTCTGGCTAGATGCCAACTGATTCTCTTCCCTGCTAACTGAACATACAAACTCTTATGAAACCTTCCCTGTTTATGAAACATATCAGTGTGTTTATTTTTAGATTGAAGGCAGAGGTAGTACTCTTCTTGGCTTTACAAAGCACAAGTAGAATATCTAATAAACATCTACGGTTTTCCCATTAGACAGTTTTTACTATTTTTCAGACCCAAAGAGCTATGTCTTGCCAAAAGCATCTATTCTAGTCCACATTGACATTTTGACAGTTGTGTTTTTAAAAATAAATACAAACAAGTGCTGGGGCTGTAGGTCAATGGCAGAGCACTTGCCTAGCATGTGCGAGGCACTGGGTTCAATCCTTAGCACCACATAAAAACAAATAAATAAAAGAATTAAAAAGAATTTTAAAAACTTAAAAATAAATAAATACAAACAACCAGAATGAAATACATTCTGCTGCTATGTATAACAAATTTGAACAAATTAATTGACTAATTAAAAAAATAAATACAAATGTCTAGTTTCACAGTGTTCAAAGTGTCCCAGTTGGAGATATGACACTATTTTCTCTGCTGACTGCATTGGCATTCCCAGAACTCACTGCAAAAATGGAGATATGAAAACTTGTGTGAATAGAAGAATTTTCTAATTATCATTTTGGAAAATCTGAAAACTGTTATTAGGTGTCTTCATATTTCTCTCAAAAGTAACATGTTTATCTAAGTGTCTTATTTGAGTAGGGAACAAGGAAAAGCTACAAAAGAATGTTGACCCAGTATTAATGAAGAAAAAGAATAGGCAGAAATCAGAGCCAACATATAGATACACTGACCATTTTTTAAAATATTTCCCAATTTTAGAATGTAGGGTTTTTTTCCCTGCATACCACAGGGTTATGGGGCTCATACAAGTGGACTCTAGCTTGATTATTTCAACAAATATAAAGGATAATAATTTTAAGAGCTTTCAGATCAAAATAGATGTCTATCTCATTAGTATGGCCCTGGTTCAGATTCAGCTGAAAATTAGTTTAGTCCATAATTAGTCTTTTTTAAAAATCTGTTCTAATTAATTATACATGACAGCAGAATGCCTTTTGATTCATTATTCTCAAATGGAGCACAGCTTTTCATTTTTCTGGTTGTATGTGATTAGAGTTGCACCATATGTGCGGTCATACATGTACCAAGGGTAATGATGCTCATCTCATTCCACCATCTTTCCTGCCTCCATTCCCCCTCCCCACCACCCCTCCCCTTTACCCAATCAAATTTCCTCCATTCTTCCTATGCCCCACCCGCCTTATGGATCAGCATCCACTTATCAGAGAGAACATTCAGCCTTTGTTTTTTTGGGATATTGGCTTATTTTGTTTAACATGATATTCTCCAACTCTATCCATTTACCTGCAAATGCCATAATTTTATTCTTTTAATGCTGAGTAATATTCCATTATGTATACATATACCAGTTTCTTTATTCATTCATCTGTTGAAGGGCATCTAGGTTGGTTCCACAGTTTAGCTATTGTGAATTGAGCTGCTATGAATATTGATGTGGCTGCATCACTGTAGTATGCTGATTTTAAGGCCTTTAGGTATAGATGGAGGAGTGGGATGTGTACCACCTCCCAGCAAGTTTGAGGAACCAGCTAGGTCAAATGGTGGTTCCATTGTAAGTTTTATAAGGAATCTCCATACTGGTCTCCATAGTGGTTGCACCAATTTGCAGTGCCACCAGCAATGTATGAGAGTACCTTTTCCCCCACATTCTTGCCAATATTTAATATTTTTTGGATTCTTGATAATTGCCATTCTGACTGAAGTAGTTTTGATTTGCATTTCTCTAATTACTAGAGAAGTTGAACATTTTTCATATATTTGTTGATCAATTGTATATCTTCTGAGAAGTGTCCATCCAGTTCCTTAGCCCATTTACTGATTGGATTATTTGTTTTTGGTATTAAGTTTTTTGAGTTCTTTATATATCCTGGAAATTAGGGCTCTGATGTGCATGTATTAGTTCTCCCATTCTGTGGGCTCTCTCTTCACATTATTGTTTCCTTTGCTGAGAACAAGATTTTTAGTTTGAATCCATCCCATTTAATTCTTGATTTTATTTCTTGTGTTTAGGAGTCTGATTAAGAAAGACAGGATCTAATCCGACATGATGAATATTTGGGCTTACCTTTTCTTCTATTAGGCGTAGGGTCTCTGGTCTAATTCCTAGGTCCTTGATCTACTTTTTTTTTTTTTAAATATTTATTTATTTTTTTTAGTTATCGGCAGACACAACATCTTTTGTTGGAATGTGGTGCTGAGGATCGAACCCGGGCCGCACGCATGCCAGACGAGTGCGCTACCACTTGAGCCACATCCCCAGCCCCCTTGATCTACTTTTGAGCTTTGTGTATGGTGAGACATAGTGGCTTAATTTCATTTTGCTGCACACGGTTTGTCCCCAGCACCATTTATTGAAGAGGCTATCTTCTCGCCAATGTGTTTTTGGCACCTTTGTCTAGTATGAGATAACTGTACTTATGTGTGATTGTCTCTGTGTATCCTATTCTATACCATTGATCTACATGGTCTATTTTGGTGCCAATACCATTTCGTTTTTGTTACCATAGCATAGCTAGTCTTAATAGTAGAAAGCTTTTTCCACCAGATCAGAATTGCCTGCTCCTCTAGTCTGTCAGAGCTTAACATTATTTCCAGTAGGTAGTGACCTTGAAAGAGCAGGACTAGGTTTGAATCTTGTACTATCACTGTAGGGGCTGAGTGACCTAAGAAAAGTAATTTCACCTCTTCAAAATTGTTTCCCCATCTGAATAAAGTAGCTCACTATTGATGTCATAGTAGCTACAGGAATTGTAGTAAATCAAGAGAAAATCTACAGGATACAGTAGATTATTATTGTTCAAAATTATCTACTACCCTGCTCTGGGGAAGAATTATCCTCCCACACTCCCATGGGCATCAGATTTGACTATGCATGTGACGTTGTCTGGTTGATGAAATGTGAACATTAGTAGTATGTATCACCTCCCACCAAGTTTGAGGAACCAGCTGTTTACCTTCTTTTCCCTATAATGAGATTGGCAGTGTTCCAACTAAAGGATGTGCCTGTAGTAAAGTACACATAAACTAAAGACGTCAAGTGTAATAAACCTTTGTAGCAATTAAAAATTTTAGTCATTTGTTAAGTGTACCATAACCCTATCTATCCTGATAAAAGAGATTACAGGAAAGCAAAAAACAAAAAACTTGTCTGAGTAGAAATCCATTGCTCCTCTATGTAGCTCTCTTCTATAGATCTAGGTCAAACAGCTGGACATTTATTGTGATAGTGGCAGTTTTCTTAAGCACATGACCTATTACTGTCATCCTAAAAACTCAGGATGAATAGAGGACTTTTATGCTATTCAAAGCATTTCAGATAGATACCAGCATCATTAACAGAAATGCAAACTCTCCAGAGTTTGGGAAGGTCTCCCACTCCATTGCCCTCCCATAGTATTATTCTACTTGGTTTTGTCAGCTACATGTAAAAATGACTTATGTAACAGCTTTACACACCATCATCTCTGCCAAGAAGGAAGCTATGAGGGGTCCCAGTAGGGGTTGCAGTGGAAACTGGAATCAATGTAGCAAAGCCCAACCAGTTTGTAATTTTGTTAACTGTTCAGTCCTCAGGGTCCATTGTTACTGTAGCAGTGTACTTTAACAGGAGTTACATAACATGTGAAGAAAATGAGTCAATGTAAAGATGCAAATACTCTTTACATAGTCCTTCATTTTTGATTTTTGGTACAATTAACTAATAGGGACTTTTAGGTATAGCAGTATAGTACCTTCAAAAGGTCCTTGTGAATTGCTATAAACATTTATTATTGTCAGAAGTAGAAATAATTTTGTTCTCTAACTGGTCTTGCTACTGATTATACATAATTTTTTTTGTATTTTTAAAAATATCTAGTTTTAGTTGTCAGAATATCTTTATTTTTATCTATTTTTTATGTGGTGCTGAGGATTGAACACAGGGCCTCATATGAGAAGCAAGTGCTCTACTACTGAGCTATAAGCATGGCCCAATCATTTCATTATGATTTGTAATTTTTTTAGTTGTATAGCTGCTTCAACAAAATTTCCAGTAATTCTTTAAGTCAAGGGAATTTCCTGGGGTGATGGAACTATAAGTATCCTGACACTGGTCGCAGTACACATTACATGTTATAACTCTTACACCTGTATATACTCTCAATTCTACTGTATGCTAACACTTTTAAAAATTAGCCCTGGCCATTTATAGGATTATCACTTAGTAAAAATACAAAGTGATCCAGGAGACATTCCTACTAGAAACTTTTTTTTCAATCATTTCATAAAAGGATTATTCTACAAAGAAGGGATACAGAATCTGAATTTCAAGGTGTATTTACAGAATAGAAGTACAAAGTTCCTACTTCATAAATTGAAGATGAAGTGGGAAAAATTAAGATAATACACATAAGGTTCTTAATATGTTACAATGAAGACAGACAATATTAAGAGGAAAAAAACCCTTTGCTTACCTACAGGAATATTCAAACCATATAGTTAAACCATAGAAACCCTAAGGGCTTGTGGAGTGCCAAGTTTTCAAGCATGAGAGTTTTATATTACCTTTGTTATGTTATGCTGTATTTTAAAATCTTTAATTATATTTCATCAAAGGCTATCAGTCATATAACATGCCAATGTTTAGTTTTCCATTAACAACTTTGCTTGCTGGGCATGGGTCATTGTCAATGAAATAAATAAAACCGTTTACTAGGCAAAGAACTTTATTAACCTTTTTTCAAACTTTATTCCCAGGCTTCTTCAGCTTAATTAGCTGCAAAGAATAAATTGTGTATAAGCAAAAACTGAAAAGAGCTGCAGTGTCCAAAGGGCTTGGGCTTAAAAATATTAGAGATCTAGATTTTATCAGATCCATAAACAAAACAATTTTAAAAAGCAGTCATAATATAAAACAGCAGCTCCCAGTAACTTCTTCAAGTTTATCTTCTTCAGAAGTTGATCAGTTCAGTTTGCCTCATTCTTAGAAGCCTCATCAAAATTCTCCACAAGATCTAGGGGGGAAAAAAAATTCTGAAAAAAGCCACTCTACAAACAATTATCAAATCTTAACAGGAGATAAGAAAATGCTCTCAAATTTAAACACATGTCATTATTTCCAGAGGCCACTATCTACTTGGTACATTGAGAACTGCATGTTTGGGCATATAACTAATACCAAAGAAAGCTATTAATTTGACAATGATTTAATAAGCACACTTAAATGTTTATACCCTCTCTATTCCCTTCCCATTAAAAGAAAATAAACAATGCAATGCATCAATCAATATGGGGAAGCAGAACCAAAGAAGACCATGACAATGACACATGATTTTAAAGTTTTCTTGGGCTCTTATGCACCTGTTTTGCCAAGTGGCAATATTAGTGATTCTCCTGCTCAATTCATTATTTGTTTTAGAATAAAGTAAATTATCCAATAATAAAGAGAAAAATGCTTCAAGATTACCAAAGAAGCTATTCTGCCACAGATTTTATTATATCCCAAGATAATTAAGCAACTTCTCCATGCTTTCTCATGAACTCACAATTAAAAAAAAAAAAAAAAAATTTTTTTAGTCGTAGCTGGACAATATCTTTATTTATTTATTTTTATGTGGTGCTGAGGGTTGAACCCAGCACCTTACACGTGCTAGGTGAGCACTTTACCGCTGAGCCACAACCCCAGACCAAAACTCACAAATTTTTAAGTAGGAATCAAAGGTTATTTCTGATCCACAGATCATTATATTTAGGTCACAAAATATATACCTACTTATTTAATATTTAAGGTTATATACCTATACTTTCTTGAGATCCCAAACAGAAAACAGGTCAAGCCAATAAACATTAAGTCCTAGTTAAAAACACTCCATTATTGTTTTCATTCCATGTCCCCTGCCCCTCACTTCCCACACCCCCATCTCTAAGGTAGTTTATCTGTAAAGACTCTTTGTTCTCCCTTGCTAAGATAACCACAAGTGAAGGATCCTACCTGGAACTTCATCATCATCATCCTCTCCAGTAGCAAGTGGTGCTTTTCCGTCCACAGCTGTGAAAGGAAAACAAATTAACATATATTTCTCCAGGTTTTCAACAACATTAACAAAAAGAACAGATAAAATGCCAAGTGTTCTTACAATCTATATTCATGATGGCAAGTGACTTGTGGGATTTTGCCTATAGTACCATTAATAACATGATATTCTGATGTTTACAAGGGACAAGAATATTAATAATGGCTAACAAAACTAATTATATACCCATCTTTTCAATCCCTCTGGCTCACCATAAGTTCTGAGAGCAGGCAGGAGCCCTCAGGGTACAGACAGGTAAAACCCACACACCATCTAACGGTTAATATTATTTTAAGAAGCAAATGAAGTGGTCAGATACTCTGCTGTTTGTGCATAGCATAAAGCTCAACAAACATTTACTGAAATGAAATAAAAGATTCAAAAAATTTAAAGTGTCTTTGAATGGCAATCATCCTCATCACTCCTTTATCAAACAAAAATGTGAACCAAGGGTGAGGGTTGAGATCTCAGAGAACTAGACCTTTATAATTATCAGTGGGATATTTTAAAAGCCTGCTATAGTTCTGAGAGCCCAAGATGGCTTAAAATGTTTTAATATCTATGTATAATAACACAAATATAAAATGAGGCAGAGTGAGTCAACACCTAGAAAAACATGGGTGATTAAATATTAAGTCATATAATAAGACAGATTTTCTCCTATATTCCCATTCTTCAAAATCTTAAGCAAAAATCTTCAGTGTAAAGTTGTTGCATCCTCCCCCTTTATGTATATGTATTCAACTACACTACTCTCTGTCTTGAACAAAATCCCTAGCAAACTGTAATTAAAACCTCTAAAACACTGGCAGGTCATCTCTTAATAATTATTGGCAATTCCAACTGTAGTGATACAACTAAAGAAATCTACAACTACAGCAGACAATTTGTTATGTATTCCAAAAATAACTTCAAGAGTCCAAATATTCCCAGCACATAGAAATGATGAATGATATGGAACAGTTAATTACACTAATATATTTTTAATCAATTCTAACTTATTAGTGGTTACCAGAAAGTCCAAAATTAACATTTTCATCATTTCCAGCAAACAAAGGTAAAAATCCTTAGTTCTGATTCAAAGCAAGCAAATTAGTACAAAACAAATACTCCACTAAATCAACTATAATGATCACAACAAACTAGATAAATTCTACGAACACCAAGAACACTTGTTTAAAGATCAGTTAAAAGTGTGTGTGTGTGTTTAAGACTAAAGTTCACATTCCAGATTTAAAAACAAAAATCTCATCAACTTTGAGTCCTGAGATCAAAAAAATGCACTGCTAAATATACCCCTAGTAAAACCACTGCTAGGAAACTCACATTGTTTGGGCAGAGCTTCAGCCAGTCTCCTTAAACTAGTCAGACTGTCTGCACCAAGTTGGTTTAAGATGCTGGGTAGCATTTCTGTCAGCTGCTTTGTCTCAGCATGGCCTGTAATGGTGAAAGTGTTTGCTGCCAGAGACGCCTGAACTTTAGGGTTGTTAAAGTGGATCACTGTTCCTTGGTTTGTAAACATATTCACCTAAAAAGAAAAAATTAAAATTAGTATGCCTATTCAAGAGCCCTTTAAAAGCAAAAACAAAAACCTGAAGTCTGGCTAACTAATCTATTATTTCACTTTGAAGTTCAGGTGAAATTTTGCCTGCAATGAAATCTGTTATCAAATAGCTCTCAAACTTAACAATCTCCCTCATATTAGTTAACAGAGTAAAAACACATTTTAGAAACTTTAAAGTCTAGCGGGATATGAAATACTTTGCTAAAAACAGAATTACAATTTTTTTATTGCATGAACATGTAATCTTTTTCCAGCCAAGTCTTATTTGACTCTTACCTCTTCAATACCAGAGATATTGTTTACCCCTAACTTCTTTAAAGAGAACTGAAGTTTTTTATCATCTGCTGTAGCTGTTCTATGAACCACCTTCTTCTTTCTGCGAGCAGTTCCCTAATATAGGGAGGAAAGGAGAAAACAGCACATTTATAATATAACAACAAACATTTTCAAGTGGGAGCAGTTTCTAATTCTTTTCTGGCTTTAGGTTCTGCATGAGAAAATAACCATAACCACAAACTATGCCGTTAAGTAGGCAAACTAAGGTAAAGACGGAAGCAAAAAGAGAAAAAGTAAAGAACTGTTTATAAATCTTTAGTAACTTCTAAGCTTCTAAGTTTTGTCAGATTTTTTTTTTAAAAATCCTTTGAAAGTCCTTAACATTTAAGTCCTTTTATACTATCTGCTGTAAAAGTAAAGGTGGCATGTATCAACCTAGATTAAACTTCATTTTAAAAAGCTCCACATCCAAAATTACTTATCTTTTACTTTTACATTAAAGAAAAATCAACATTTAAAACAATACTCCCAGGCAAGATAGTGTGTGGAATAATCATATAGATCTATACATGTACTTCTACAGAATCCTAGAGTAAAAATCTGAAGTTCTTATTTAACTTACAAGGCCCCTATACATGATCTGGACTGCCCTTAATACTCTGTGCTTGACCATATTCTCCATAGCCAAATAAACCTCTTTGCTGTTCTTTAAACAGGCCAAACAGGCTATGAACCCAGGGCAGTGATACATGCTCTCTTCTCCTAGCATCTGCACGGTTCCCTTCCTCACTGCAGAACTCTGCTCTTATGTTACCTTATCAAAGAGGCTTTTATCAATTAAAAATATAAAATAGCAACTCCTATACTCATCTTTCTATCCTGGTTTACTTTTCCTTATAAAACTTATTTCTGTAAAATATAATCTGAGTTTCTGGAGGCATCTATTCTGTTCACTGTTTACCCAATCTAGCTCATTGAAGACACTCAATGACACCAACCACCTCACCAACCCCAAACTCTATTCCATTTCTGATTCATCTTTTAAAACACTATCAAGCCATTACCTTTTCTGTGCCTTCCCTAAAACTCCTGTGCCAAGTCACTCCCATCTCTGTATTTTAAAAATGCTTCTATTATACTAGGCATTTATCACAGATTAATTACATACATATTTTTTAAAAAATGACTCCACTACTAGGCTAGAAATCCCCCTAAAGACTTTTCCCTTCTTAAATTTTACCTTTTCAGGATTAAAAATAGCAAAGGCTTAAGTAAATCACCATTTAAAGAACACACACACAAACTGATTATCAAATCCTCCCCCAAACAGAATAATAATCACTGAAGTGGTTGTGTAGATAGATACCTCATTTCCAAAGATACCTGTAAGATTACAAAAACAAAACCAGCAAACCACCTATAGGTTCTATACATTTCACATGTGCAGAGTTCAATTTTTACTAAGTTATTTTGTTCTGATTAAATAATGCAATCGAAAGCTTTTATAATATCAATCCTTAAAACCTTAAAAGTAGCTAACATCACTTACTCTAAGGCAAAACTCACTCAATTTCACATCCCATAAGTAGGTTTTTTAAAAGGTATAGAAAATGTTTACATAGTACAATGACAACAGAAATACTTTTATATAAGCTAACAAGTATTAAGATGTTAAGATACAAAGTCAGCTTTAAAAACCTTGGAAAACCTTAAGAGTTTCTTTTGCCCTGGTATGATGCCTTTCAACAGTAAAACCTAATGATCAGAGTAACAAGCTTGCACACAAGAACATTATTCCTCAAACTGTGGAATAATGGAATAATGGCTAAAAATATACAGATATAGAACATCCCAACGATAGTTCGCAAAAAATATGATGAGTTTTTCTGGCTTCCAAAGGCTACAGCCTGGTAACTGTTGAAAAGGATAAGAAACACCTAAAACACCTAATGTGTTAATGTGAAAAGTGTGGATCTTGAAGATTAAAAGTGTCAGCAGAAGGAAGGATGCAGGGGAAATCAGGATATTCACTGCTGGCAAAGTCCAGTAATTTATCAGAGCTGCATCATAACTATTTAACCTAAGTTAAACTTTTGCCTACTTCACAATAGACTCTTCTTGAAGGCAAATGCTTAAAGTCTGGAAAATTTAATAGATAATAAACTTGCACTATGGAAGCCTCACAAGTTTTACCAAGTAAAGACATGCTCTGTTTCAACAAGCTGCCACACCTTGTTAAATACTAGGAATGTGCTAACAATACAAAATACAACTAGGCAGACTTCTGTCTAAAGCAAACTTCTGACTTAAGTAAATTACATAGAGAATGATCTGAAAAACAAGTCCCAAAAAGAACTGCCATGAACAATCAGTATCCACAAGGGGGGGGGAGACTCAATTAACCCCAAAATGATCATTTAAAATTCAATTATTTCCATTCTCTCAGTTTTAGCATAACTGCAAAGTCAGAATAGAAAAGACATCTGCTTAGGTAATACTTTCAAAACAATCACTGTTCTTAAACTCCAAAATATATAGAAAGATATTTTCAAATATCCTTGAAAATACAGAACTAACCAGAAGGGCACTTCGCTCAGAATGCTTTACAGAAAGGTCTTAATTTATATGACACAAACTTCTAACTTAAGTATTAATAGGAAAAACTATTGAAAAACAAAAAGGGCTGAGAGTGTAGCTCAGTGGTAGAGTACTTGCCTAGCATGTGCTAGTTCTAGATCCCCAGTACAGAAAAGGAACAAACAAATCCCACTGACTTTGTACAAATTAAACCAAAACAAGTCAAGTTATGGAGGACAAGGATCTAACTGAAATGACACATTTTTTCCTACTAAAAAAATTAGGAAACATTTTGGTTCTACTTATACACTGTAACACTGAAAGCAAACATTTACATAAAAGCAATGTTTTTTAGTTTAGATAAAAGCTTTTATCCCTTTTAATATACAACCTGCAAGTCTCATTCATATTTATCTAACCTCCACTTCCCGCCCTCACCCCGAATTTACTACTTTTGTTAATTTCTCAAGATGGGCAAAGTGGCAAATCAACAATATCCTAAGAGCAAATAGAATGTCAAAAATAAAACTACTAAAACTTACTTTTCCGCCAATTCGCACTTGTGCCTGCAGTTTGGCGAGTTTTTCCTGGTTCATGATAGTTTCTTTCATCTAGAAAAAAGGAAATTCTCAGCATGGAAATGTCAAGCTCACTCTCGCATTCCACGCTCGCTATTTCCCAAAACACCAGTAGAACAAATGTCCTACACAGGCCAAGGCCTGAATCCCAAAACCACCCCGCAAAGCTCCAAATTTCGGCTCGGAGAAAGCTCAAGGAGCACCCATCTCCCCTTCCCACCCCCACACCCCCCCCCCCCTTTACAGCCCTAAACAAGGGCTCTACCCCATGCCTGTCCAACTCCCCCCACCCCGGCCCTGGCTCGGCCTCGGCCTAGCCAGGGCCTGCCCGGCCCGGCGCATCTCCGCAAGCCTCGCGGTACCTGAGGCTCCTGTCCTCGGGTTCCGCCGCGAGGTGGAGGAAGAGACGGCGTCGCCTCGCCCCCAGGGCAGCCGCCCCTGGCTCGACCTCGCCCCCGAGAATCAGCCTGAGCGGGTGCGCCTGTCCGTCGCATCGCCTTCCTGTCCTCAGCCCTGTCCCTCCCTGTCTCGCTCCTTCCGGGAACTTCCCGCCCCCGATCCCGTCCTCCTCCCACGCTGGCGTCCAGAGCCTTTTTGTACCTTGTCGGAGCGGAAATGGGGCCGCGCGGGGGACTAGGGTTGGCGCTCAGGGGGTCTCAGGCAGACCAGCTGAGATTAGGCGCACACACGCGGGGACGCAAGATGGCAGCTAGAGGGAGGCCGGAAGTGATGAAACGCCACTTCCTCCAAAAGTCAGGAAATAGGCTTTGCCTCACTGCGCACGCGCAGCGGCGCGCCGCGACGTTTGTGATGGCTTTGCCCCCAGCCGGCCTCTAGACTCCTCTTGTCTTCCAGCGGCGGTAGTCTGCATGGGGGCGCCGCCCATAGTCCCGGCAAAGGGCCGCGAAGTCAGAAAACTTGATTCTTTACAGTTAAGGTTGAGTAAATGCATCTTAACTCCTTCGGGCCCAATCCCGAAGTTCGTTAAGGTCAGAAGAAAGGGTTTAGGGCGCCCACGGTGCTCGTATGTTTAGCAGGTGTCCACACACTGAAATGTGTAGATCGGAGAACTGTCAAAAACTGCGAAGCTAATTTTGCTTTCCAAGATTAGATGGTTTGATAGATTTCGATTCAGCATTTCTGAGGAATGTGTTCAGAATTCATCCCTGAGCTCCACCCCTCAAAAAGCAATTCTGTAGGACCAGAGGTGGGGCTGGATAATCTTCTTTTCAGCGACTCTAGAGGACAATGAACCTTTTAAAACCCAGCTATGTGTTTACCTTCTATTTCTTTTATAGGCAAAAAGCTACTTTTGATAGCGAATTGGCATGGATTTGTCAATAGCGATTCACAATGGAACAGATTTTACCTTTAATTCAATCAAAGACAAAATTGTGCCTGCTGTGTTTGGAGAGACTAAATGCGTGGATGTGGGTTAAAATATGTTAAATGCCAGGACAAGCTTTAAGGAAATCTTAAAACCAATTTTTAAAATGGCAACTAAAACAAAAGATTCTATCTGGTCAAATTTTGTGGTCATATCTATGAAATGCGAAAACATTTCAAAAGTGAGTCAAAAAATCTTAGCCAGACAGAATAAAATTTATACAGCAAGAAAACTTGTGTAAGTGCATACTCCTTCCAATTAAGATAATTTTTTTTCTTTGAATATTTTTTAGGTGCAAATTTGCTAAAACTGTGGTATCTTATTAAGAAAATCACTGAGATATTGCTTTTTAGATTAATCGTAACAGTTATTTTATACTAAAAAAACAATGTTGCTTCTATTATAAAATGAGTAAATTTTAGTACATAAAAGGGTGTTAGTATTGTTAGGTCATGTGAATTCCCATCCTGATGGTGAAGATCAAATAAAAATACTGCCAAAATTATCCAGTACAATAAAGATATAAAATATATGGAAATACTCCCCTTTTTGAAAGGAATGTATGTCTTTGTCCAGGAACATTTTCACCCCTTTCCTCCACGTGATACAAGGAGCATTTGAAACTTCCTAGTTGTGATGTTTTCTTGTTTTACATAAACAAGATTTTGTACATATGTACTCAATACCTGTTTTCGAGAATTGTTATACATCTGTTTTCAGGAAATGTGAGTTATTTTTTACTCTTTTGTAATTTTAAATATCTGTACCATGCTGAAAATCATCAAAGATGATTATAGAAGAGAAGAATTTTATTTTACCCCAGCTGTTTCCCACTTATTTTGTGAGCAGCCAGGCACTTATTTCTGGTTTTGGTCATATTTACATACCAATCTCTTCAAAAACAACTGAAGGGATTTTTTTCTCCTCTCCACCGTCCAAGTAGTTACTTCCTTGTAATCTTGTTTGGAAATACCATTTTCTGTGTGCTCCCAATGTCTATGGCAAATGTCAATAATTGGCTTTCACACTTCACTGCTGAGCTGGAGCAGCCTAAGAATTATTTACTCTTCATTCAAGATAGCCTATAGAGAAGGCGAGAAAGGAGAAACCTGTTTTTCCTCCGTGGTTTATAGTTTATGATCTAATCAAAACCCATGAATTGTTTTCATCTCTGAGTTGTACTTTAGCAGGAGCCAAAATATTCACTTTATATTATGCATATTTCTTTTAAATTTTTTCATAGCTTTATTGAGGTGAAATTGAAGTATAATAAAATGCACATATTTGAAGTATGCAGTTTGATCTGTTTTGACACGTATGTAACCAATATAGTCAATGTAAAAAGCATTTCCATTACTTATTTTCAAATTTGAAATCATGCAGACTGTGTTTCCTACATGATGTATTACATTAGAAACCAATCACCTTAAGATATATAGAACCCCCACTCTCACATGTCAACTACTTCAAAATTAAATGACACACTTATAAATATCTCACAGGTCAAAGAAGAAAGCACAAGTAAAGTAAATAAGAAGTGCTTTGAACTAAATGATAATAATATCTTAAAATACCAGAATCTCTGGGATGAAACAGTACTCAGATGAACATTTATAACTTAAAGTACTTGTATCAGAAAGAAGCTAGATTAACAATCAAATTATTTTCAAATTAGGGAGTAGGAAGGAAAAAATAAGAGTAAACAGAAATATATGATAAAGCTAAAGTTTGAAACAAAACAAGTCTAAGAAAAAAGTAAGAACAAAAAATATTAATGGAAAGGAGCTATCAAAATTACACTATAGATGCTAAAACAATATTACAATTGTATACCAACATGTGATAATTTACATAACATTGTCTATCTTAGAGAAAGATCTGTGTGCTGCTGAGAAGAAAGTGTGTTCAGTCATTGATGGATGAAATATTCTATATATGTATGTAAAATCTAAATTATCAATTATATTTTTTTATTTCTATAGTTTTTGTTTGGAGGATCTATCCAGTGGTGTCAGAGGGATGTTAAAGTTACCTGCTATTATTATGTTGTGGTCTATTTGATTCTTGAAACTGAGAAGGATTGGTTTAATATATGTAGATGCTCCATTGTTTGGGGCATAAATATTTACAATTGGTATGTCTTGTTGTTGTATACTTCCCTTAAGCAGTATGAAATGTCCTTCTGTCCCTTCTGATTAACTTTGGTTTGAAGTCCACTTTATCTGATGTGAGGATAGAAAACCCTGTTTGCTTACAAGATCCACGTGAATGATATGTTTGTTTCCCATCCTTTTACCTTCAGTCTGTGGATGTCTTTGCCTATGAGGTGATTCTCTTAAAGAGAGCATATTGTTGGCTTTTGTCTTTTAATCTAATCTGTCAGTCTGTGTCTTTTGGTTGATGGGTTTAGACCATTTATATTAAATGTTATTATTGAGAAATTATTTTTATTTTCTTTTATTTTGATTTATTTCTGGTTTTTACTTTGAATTAGTTTATCCTTTGATTGAGTATCCTTCTAGTATAGTATCCTTCTCCCTTTGCTGGTTTTCACTTTCATTTTTTCTTCATGAAATATTTTATTGAGAATGTTTTGTAGTACAGGCTTTCTAGTTATGAATTCTTTTATGTTTTGTTTATCATGAAAAGTTTTTATTTTACCATCAATTCTGAAGCTTAATTTTGCTGGGTTTATCATTCTCAGCTGGCATCCATTTTCTTTCAGAGCTTGGTATATAAAAAATATGGAATGCTTTATGAATTTGTGTGTCATCCTTGTGCAGGGGCCATGCTAATCTTCTCTGTATTGTTCCAATCTTAGTATGTGTGCTGCTGAAACGAGCACTATTTATTATGTTTATTTCTTAAAGGCCTTTGAGTCCCATTCTGATCTGCAAGAGGTTTTGAGGAATCACTTAGGATGAATGCTCCTATGGTTTTAGTTGCTTCATGACCTAGCCCTTGCCAGATAGCCACAATAGACAACAATGACTTCTTCTTCATTTAGTTTTTTTCTTGTTGTTGTATTCTTCATAGTCCTTCTTTTCTTCAAAGTCATCTCCATCATCTTCATCATTGTTCTTCTTCATCTCTTCCTTCATCTCCTCCTTTCTTTTCTTTCTTTGTAAACTTCCTTGTACTCTTCTTCTAGTATCTCTGTGTTTGTCAAGTTAATGCCTATATTTTTATCTCTCCCAAGACTCAGGCAATACTGCTGAAACACTCTCAATCTCATTATTTTATTAAATCCAAAGTGAGAGATTGATAATTTTGTTGAGTTAGTGGAAAAATTGAATCAGGAATCTTTATTTCCCACTAGGTTATATTGAGTTCTTGCTCTTTGTTCCTCATAGAAATCTTATGAGAGGATACTCCTCATTTTACTGGTGAAGGAGCTGAGGCTTAGGGGGTTAAAGGTTTGAAAATGGATACAACCAACCTTGTCTCCCCTGCACTAAATCTATCCATCTATACGTATTTAATGTATAAATGTCACCTTCACTCCTGCTATGCATGGAAGAAAATTGCCTCTACCCATACTCAATCCCTGTTTCAGGATTTTGATTCTATTATTGTCTCCTATCTGTCTTTGTTTTGTACATTCACCTACATCATTCTGCTAGTACAATAAAATGCTTTAACACCAGACATCTTAAAAGAGACAAAGCAAAAATTTTCTTTTGAATGGTGTTACCCTGTAGCCACTACTTTACATTTGGGCTCCCTTTTATAGCAGAATTTCTCCAAAACAATTGTCTGAACCTCTAGCTTAGCAAATCAAAAAAGATAAATTCCAAGTTCTCGCTTTTTAAGCCTTGAGCAGCATTTGGCACCCTTGGCCACTTCTCTGCTTTTGAAACATTTTCTTCTTCAGGCTTCCAAAATATCTCATTTTCATGGTTTTTCAACTTTTCTGGTGTCTCCTCAGTCTACTTTGGTTTATTTTGAGTTGATTTTGAATTGCTCACTTTTTAGTCCTTGTTCTCTTTTATTTTTTTCCCTAAATAGTATTATATCCTACCCCATAGTTTTAAATATTATTATATTGAAGAATCCTAAATTTATAATTCAAATACTAACTTCTTTTGAATTCTGGACTAAATATTCTTTGTACATTATTATGGAAAACTTAAGATAAATAAAAAATAAAAATAATAATAAACACCTGTAGACTCATCACCCACCATTAATAATTATCAAATCAACACATAAACTCATATTCTTAAGAGATGATAATTCCATCTTTTATTTTTAAGTTGATATATTCACAGATATTTTATTCCATATACATTTTAGGGCTTGTTCAATTATTTAATTTTTTATTGGGATTGAATTGTGCAGATCAACTTGGGAT